AATTGTAATTATTTTTTATAATAATTTAATATAAATGTATAATTAAATTACTACAATATTTTGGTTTCAATCAATTAGCGCAAATGACGTCACCTAAAAATTCAACATTAATCGTTCTTAAAAATTACAAATAAAATGTCGGTGGGTTTATTTAATTTCTTCGTATATATCGTATTCGTCTGACCGTCCTAAGGTTGGATTATTTCAGACCATTTAATATAATGTATATAAATAGATTAAAATACTATATAATCAAAATAAAGTTAGAAGTCATTAATTTGTATTAATTAATGGACAATGCATTATATATGAGCAGTTCGAATAATATATCTTTATAGATTTCGTGAGGAAATTAAATAATCATCAGTTATTCTATTCTATACTAAACTATATCAGGTTATTAAAATAGTGAATAAAGTGAGACGATAAATACCTGTACAGAACAAACTTGAAAGAACTTTTGCAAAAAAATAGAGAAATGGAAAAGCTTAAAATGATTGATCGACGAATGCCTGACTGCATCGACCACACTTAAAAACATCCAATAGAATGCTATAGTGCTGAGTATGAGTGAAATTAATTGTTGCAGCCAAATATCAGCAAAGAAGCAATCCTAGAAAGGTGTCTCCAACGCAATATCCTTGACCTTGGGTCAACGAAGATACAATAAGCAGTTATGTAAGGATGTAAGTGAAATGAAATTTACAATCATGTCGCATGGGATTATTAAGTCATTTATAATATAGGCAGAAGGCAGACATATACCTCCATTACATTATTGACAGCATTGTATTTTTCTACAATGAAAGACTAATTTTTTCACGCTTAAATAGATGAGAATATATTTAGACATTAACTTTATTGAATTTATCTAGTACGAGTTATATTCTATAGTATGGTCTAGTTCATGAGTTCTCGTGAGATCCTTTTAGAGGTGATCAATTTGCTATGCGTTATTAAAATCCTAAACATTTTTTGGTTGCCAACATATGTTAATATTCTAAATTGCCTTCCTCCAGATTTACGTTTTATTGGAATCAAAAGGTTTAGATTAGCTTAGATTAGATTTTGAAAGGGTTGGGAACTATGTCAGCACATCACTGTATTCTTTGAGGATTGTTGTGACAAACGCCCTTTAGTGCCGTGGGCGCGTAGCAGTTAAAAATGAGAGAAGTGGAGAGAAGTGGCCAAATTCCGTTATTAGCAGTTAGGCATTTTATAAGTACTGAAGTCTGAGTCTGGCGAGACTCTCATATTAGACTAAACGACTCACTATCATCTTTTAGTTGCTTGCTGACTTATTTGGCCATAACAACCCGTTACCGAATTTTGGCCTTACGCTGCATGTCTATCCCGGCGCCTCTGCTGCGTCCGCACCTTCTCCAGTCTCGTACGTCAAGTCCGGTTAGTGCTCCCTTAACTTGATCACTCCATCGAAGACACTGTCTAACTCTATGCCATCTTCCTCCAAATATTGCTTCAAATACCTTTTTCGCTGGAGTATCTTCATCCCTTCTCACGACATAATCAAGCCCGGCACAACTAATTCAGGAAAAACACATGTTTGTTGCCATAAAATTTGAGTGGACTAAACGATAACAAATTTTTATGGCATAAGAAAACATTTTTTTAAGTGCAAAATCACATTAAATTAATCGTCATTTTTCCCTATAAAAATTAAGGCAATGCACATTTAATTTACACAAGAGAGAGAGGCAAACCAAATGTAGAGCAATAGGTGCCATACCAGCTGAATGTCAAGCTTTAAGCCTAAAGCAATACATATTGCAAAAACAAAAGCCTTACGTACGTTAAACACCGAACTAAGCTAATATTTTAGCTTCACAGTCCAAACCAACGGAGAATGAGAGATAGAGAGAGAGAGCTTTGCATTCAATTATGTTTTTGCATCAACGTTAAGCCAAAGCCCACCATAAACTGTAAACTGTGCATGCGCAACGTCATTACGTGATACTCTGACGTTTGTTATTGCTTTTGCTTTTAATATAGTTGTTGCTTTTATATTATTAAATATAGGATTTATATGCACACACACTGATACACTGATACACTGAAACATACAACATACAATATAAAAAAACCAAAATAAAAACAAAATTGAATCATAAAAACGAAGGCGTTTGGGTTTAATGCTGTTAATGCTTTTGTTGTTGCTATTGTTTTTGTTGTAATATTTTGGCTCAAAAATACATTTCTTGCATTCCTACTTCAGTTAACAAAAAGAGGCGAAACGAACAGGTTGTCGGTGCAATACAGGTGCGCGCACTACTGAAAGTAATCAATAATAATAAAAACAAATAAGTCTACTAATTACTAACATTTTGTTTATTAATTAAACAAATACAATATTTTATTGACATTTTAAACATTCGAACATTCCAACATTGTACGGCAAAAGTAAAAACGTTCGTTTTTTTCACTTTGCCGCTTGTTTACATATTTACTTCAATGTGTATTTTTTTTTTTTTATTTTCGTTTTTTTTCTGTGATTGACAATAAATTTTGGCAAAAACAGTGAGTGGCATTTCTATGCAAATGTAAGAATTCGAAATATGTAAAAAGTAAAAATATAAAACGAATTTATTTTTTTAATAAATAAAAATTAAAAATGTGGTGTTAAAATTTTAGCAAAAGCCATGCCCAAAAAAATAAACAAAATTTGCCAATAAAAATTCCAAAAGAAAGAAAAAACGTCAACTTCATACGAAAAAGTGCTATAAACGTTGTGCACTGGACACGCAAAAGAGCTTGAACGATGCGGTGCGGCATGGCGCAAGCAGCGCAGCGCAGCGCAACGCAGCATTACAATAAAAACCAAGCCAAAATCAAACCAAACTTAACTTAACGCAAGAAACCAAAACCGAACGTAAAAATCACAACAACAACGGCAACAGCAACAACAACAACAACAACAAAAATATTAAAATGAAATTATTATTCAGTCACAAAAGTGAGAGTGATTTCAAAATGTTGTAACTTAAAGTTTTTGCTTAATTCAACAAACAGTTTATTTGTTTGTATTTGTTTAATATTTATATGCGTAAATTAGTGTGTATGTGGCTGTGTGCTTATGCGCAAGAGTGTGTATTTCGTTTTTTCCATTTTGTATTTACTGTTTTTATTAAATAAAGCCAACAACAGTTATTCGATGCAGAAGAGCAAAGAGTGTAATTGCGTGATTCATTTAACTGAAATTGTGCGTCTAGTTCAAGAGCAGCGCAGTTGACGTAATTGTCAACGTCAAGTTGTTTGTATGGTTAGAAGAGACCTCAAGCTAAAACCGCAACTGACCAGCCTCACTTCAAAATGTTAGCGCCACTTTTTATTGTTTTGCTTACAATGTGGGTGTGTGTGTGTTTTATGTGTAAAATATTTTTGTGTGAAAAAAGTTCAATGAAATAAAAATCCAAAAATTTCTCCATTAAAAATAAGCCGTGAGCAAAACTTTACGTGGGAGTTTTTTTGAAATTTTGGCTTACAATTTTTGCAGAATGTTTAAGGCTGAATAAATGGGCATAAACGTAGCAAACGTTTATGTAAACTACAGAATGCCAAACAGTCAAAAACTTATGACAAAGTACACACAAAGGAAACCAGCATAAAAATACAAACAACACAAATTTGATACGATCACTAAATACTTCGTACACAATTAAATGCAATGCAATTGCTTAATGTTTGTATCAGCTAATTTAAGATTTTGCTTACGTTCTCGTCGCAAACCATAATTCAATTCGGTTTTTAATTTGGAATGAATAATCAAATGCATTGTTTTTCATAAGTTAGAATGGGTCAGCTGATTTATCACAGCACAACAAATTCATCCCACAGTTTTTTCCATACATAGTTATTTAGTAATAACAGAAATATTGGATATAAATTATCTACTGCTAGAATTTGCAACACAGTCTGCATTTACAAGTGTGAATTCAATTGGCCAATGTTTTTCACCGATAAACCACATAAGTTCTACACCGATGAAAATATGATGCTACACGAAAAATGACAAAGAACATAGTTAAGATTATATAATTCGGTCTATAAAGCACATAATATTGCTTTAGTTAATAGGTTATAGGCGCAGCCAGTCAAAAACGAAATAAGTAGTAAACATTAAATAAATTGAGATATATCTTCTTAATGAAGTAGAGGGATAAGTATATATCCCATCAGAAGTCATGAGCAGCAGTTGAAGTAATGTCCTGCTAAAGATATAAAACCAAGAATTTTAAGCATAGTTAAAAAGATTTTTGATAGAAATTTCTAAAAGATTTTTGAAAGTAAAGTTATATTCATGTTCACCATAATGTAACGAAGTCCACATATTCATATTAATGTTAATATTAATATTCAGTTAAAGTTAAGCTGTTAATGAATCTCTGGAATCAGGCAAAAAGAAACTTGAGTTACCTATAGAACACCAAGCAATAAAATTCTTCCACAAGCATTGGGTTACAGTTAACAATAGTTAAGTACACCAGAAAATATTTGGAGGAGACAGTAGAATGCGAATTAAAAGATATAGATTTTTAACGAAATAATTACTATTTCTATAACAGAGTTAGATTTAAGCTGAGGTTCTAGGCAGACAGAATCATATAATAACAGCATGAAAGATTATATAATTATATATCGAAGATATGGTTATATTATTGAACACCTCTTCCTCAACATATTTTAGACCAAAAATAACTAAGTGACCATATTGACTTCAAGTAACTATATTTTTCACATTAAAATTACTCACTGCTTATAATTTCCAGTATTCTATTTTTATTTTCTTCAGTTATATGATCCTTTATATAAATGTTTAAATTACTTTTTTGTGTAAAAAATAAAAAACAAAAATTTTTATATTAAAGTAAAGGTCGTATGTTAATACCATATTACTATAATACGATAATATGGTATATTTCATTTACTAAATATCATAAAAGTTGCATTAAAATATAATGATTAGATTTTATTGTAGTGTTGAATTGAAATTTACTTTATTCTACAATTTTTATCCGCATGCTAAAATAACCAATGTATTGTATTGTATATTATTGAAGTGTATATTGTCAAATTGTTAGCCTATCATTTAACATCCATCATTTTAGTATATTTACAATTTTATCATCTCTACAAGATATCTTCCGCTTAATTCTAGATCTCACGCATACTTCCAGTCCCTCATAACATTATAAATACAAATACCTGTATGTTGAAAAGAAGCAAAGTTCATCGTCCACAATGTATTGTATTGTATATTGTCAAATTGTCAGCCTATTACTTAACATCCATCATTTTAGTATATTTACAATTTTATCACCTCCACAAGTTATCTTTAAACCATATATTTATGATATATGTCACTTAATTTCAGATCGCGTACACACTTCCAGTCCCTCATAACATTATAAATATAAACACCTGTACATACCATCCACAATGTATGTTCGCCGCCATTCTGTTGTCCAAATTTATAAGATTGTTTTTGCATCAAAAAAAAAAAAAACATTTAACAAAATAAAACATTTTAAGAATAATTAAAAAAATGTCCAACTAATTAAATTGTTCAACGTATTAATATCTCCAACAAATATATACATCAACTTGGCCCATATAGAACCAAACATACAGTCCATTAAATTCTACTTGGTTTTCAAGATGGCTGCCTACTAGAACTCCCCAATCTAAGTCGAACACATTTGTTAGGCTCTCCAAGATACGCATTTCCAACTCATCCGTTTCAAAGATTGCAGCTACTTTACTTACAACGTTGAATAAGAATTCTGTAAGTTGCGGAAGCATATTCGTCTTAATGATGGCACAAATATTGCCTCCTGTGGATGGTGGATTAACCAGTTTGCTAAATATATATTAACATATATATCGATTAAAAGTATAGACGTCTACATTGCATTTTTAATATTTTGACTTACTTTAAGCGTTGCTTTGTAATTTCGTTATTTGGAGACGGCATGTTCAAGATTTTTTTGCTTATTAGATGGAATCCGGTTCAAAGTTTTGTAGACCCAAGTCTATTGATTTATTTAGTTTATGGAAAGAACAGTTTTGAACTATTTTTAAAAATTATGAAATTTTGATAAATTTTAATTTCATATTGCAACTAGATCAAAATGTCATAATTTATTTGAAGCAATTTCTGTATATAGTATTATTATTTACTCTCTATTAACAGCGAGGTTTCTTCATAATCCCTCTCTACGCCTTGACTGGATTATTGTTTTTCACTTCATCATATTAAGCAATAATTGACTTCAGATTTGCATACCTCCCCGAGGAGCCTGTAACCATTCTGAAATTCGATAACACGGTATTGGTAAGCCTGTCAGTTTTGGTAAATAATTTCAGGGCTCTATTCTTTATAGATATTTCCTTTCCTTTCCTTTATATCCTTTCACCGAAAGATTTTATTAGTTGAATCACTACTCCGATATTGTTTGGAATATATGGTATATGGGAGTAAGTTCCACCTGCGGCACCCGACTGGTGGTGTAAGCCTAGTATGAAATTGTCAGGGCACACAGCTTTAGCTGTTCTAAACAATTAAAATTGACCTCATTAATGAGAGTTTTAAGGTGGCTGTGCCTAACGCCGAATGTTACGCTAATAGAATAACTGTATTGATTACCTTCATTTCACAAGAAGTTGTGTTTTTCAACCAACCATGGTGTTCTAAAGAATAACAGTGGTGTTATGTAGGCCTTGTTTCCCCTTAAGGAGAAAACTGTATCTTAACGTAGAGCTATAATTGGTACCGGCAGAGTTCCTTGGAATTCTAATGGAGACGTTTATCGTTACATTATACTGATATATACGTTAACAGCATATTCTTGTTAAGCCCCAAATGGAAGGTAATGACTTTAAAAAAACTTTTTGTAACATGTCACATTATTAATTGTTAGGTATCTAGGAAACTGAACTGTCTTATTCACAAACTTTAAGTTAAAGTAGTGCAAAATTAATTCTTTCAACTTCAAACTAATATTATTAAACTTATAAATTATTGTTTTTTAATTCTGATTGTTTTATTCTTACAAATAGGAAATTTCAAATCATTTTTGAAGAAATCTGAAGTTGCCATGAGTTGTGGGTTGACACATCAAAAATCCAAAATGTCCAACAAATCTAAAAAAAAAAACAAGGAAAACTTGCTGACTATAATTACAAATAACAGCTTTCATAAGACTATATCTATTCGGAATTTTGTGGTTAAAACAGCTTTATATAGTTATAAATGGCGCAAACCACTACAACAACAGAATTACAACAAAGGACAACAACAAAACTGCGGATAAGCAAACAAAAAAAAAAAATTTGGTCACTTTTAAAGTTGTGTTTTAGCTACTATTAAGCTTTTGTGGTGAGTATCCCAAAAACAATTTAAAAAAAATTATATTGATACAGTTTATTAATAAATATTATTCATATCTTACCACATATACCATAGCTTATTAACCACTTTCGGAAAGTGTGAAGTAACTATGGTTAGTATAGCGCTATGCAAATGACAGCTCAGTGTAATCTCACCTCATTCTTACTCTTTCACCAGTAAAACACAATTTCTTTTATAGAGAATAGGTTTTTTATTACATATGGTATTTATTAAATTTTTACTTATCCCACTTTGAAATTGGAAAAAGTTTGGGGACCGCTTTTTGGTGCACTTTTTTGTGGACATGTCTAATTTGTGCTATAAAATTATTTATTTGATTTTTTTGTATGTTTTTTGTTTTTCCTCTGTTTGAGTTTCATGTACGTTTAAGATGCGTTGTTAGCTTGAATAACGAGTAACCGGCTCTGTGTCAAGGTCATCTTGCCTTACTTTTTCATATTGCTTTCAGTCTCAGACAACTGATTTTAACATTCGTATATCTTATATTTTTACAATGATAATTTTATTTATTATTTGTTTCGCCGAAAGTTATATTCACTTTTTCATATGCAAATCTGCTAAGGCAAATAAATTAATTATAATAAAAATAAGTGATAGAAAGAGATAAGCAACTATCACTGTGTTGAAGTAATTGCTTAATACATTTATTCACATGCCAAGGCAACTGACTTTTGTTCAATAATATTTATTTATTCTATATTTTAAAATGTCTTTTATTCTTAACTAAAGTGGTTGTTGGTATAATTATTCACCATGGGATGAAGATGTCTTTTCGAATGTGTAACAGTTTCAATACCACAATTGCTTGCGGGGATATAAATATGAAAAAAAATTGTTATGACAGTGATTTGCTTCGCACATTGCATTTAATAGTTTCGTTTTTATAGAAGATGTTTATACGAATAGAAATACGAAGTATAGACGAATAGGTGATTATGAGAAAGGAATTACAGTTACAGAAGATATTTATATGAATAGAAATACGAAGTATAGCCGAATAGGTGATTATGGGAGAGGAATTACTGTTACAGAAGATGTTTATATGAATAGAAATACGAAGTGCAGCCGAATAAGTAATTGTGAGAGAAATTACAGTTACAGAAGATGTTTATATGAATAGAAATACGAAGTATACCCGAATAGGTGATTATGGGAGAGGAATTACAGTTACAGAAGATGTTTATATGAATAGAAATACGAAGTATAGCCGAATAAGTAATTGTGAGAGAGAAATTACAGTTACAGAAGATGTTTATATGATTAGAAATACGAATTTCACCCGAATAGGTAATTATGAGAGAGGAATTATAGTTACAAAAGATGTTTATCTGATTAGAAATACGAATTTCACCCGAATAGGAAATTATGCGAGAGAAATCACAAATCCTGTCGCATAACAGAAAGAGGAAGAGAATATAAATCTCTACAATTCTCTATCAGCATAACAAAATCAATACGAATTATATGAGAGTATAGTTCATATGATGTATATAAAGATTTTCCTTAAGTTTAGCGGGTGCTTTCTTGTAGCGGAGAACAACCCAAATAGAGCAACAATGTAATTGCAAAAACTATGTACAAAAAAAAAAATAAACAGCAAATTTTAATCAACAACGATATCGACTTACTTGTATGTACACAATTCCTTTAATTAGATAGAAAACTATCCGTAAATTATTAAATATCACAATTTTGTAGAATAATAATTGATTGGCAGTACAACTGTTTTTGTATAACTGTTTTTGCATATCAACAAGAAAATTAATTAAATTAATAACAAAAACGTTGTAAATACTTAATTCCATTATTTCATTAAATGGCTTGAAATGAATATCTTATTTCAGGGTGTACCTGAATTTTCTACTCGTAGTTCACAATTCATATTATATTGGTAACATTAAGCAATTTACTCAGTTGTGCTGACAAGAGAACTTAAATATTATTACAGAAATACTTTAAAAATAAATAAATCTCATTCTGATGTGTCATCGCAAAATTTCACAAACTGTATTAATAATCGTGGCATAGCAAACGTGATGTTATAGCAGTCTTTGTTGCTATCGAAAAGGAATCTACAAGATTGGTCTTAGAAGTGAATGGGGGTAAAACGAAGTATGCCGAGCTAATAGTTGGCGACTATACTTTTGAAACTATCAAAGATTTCATCTACCTTGGCACCGCCGTGACAAACAACAAGTGTGTTGTTTTAGAGAAATGTTCTTCGTAGGACCTTTAGTACTCTACGAATTGGCAATGACTACCGCATACGAATGAATCACGAGCTATATTAGCTTTATCACGACATTAATATAATTCAACAAATTAACATCCAGTGACTTTGCTGGGTTGGTTTCTAAACAGGTCCAAGATTGTAATAAACATTTTCCAGACAAAGCCCTACCATGAGTACACAAATAAAAATGATAATTAGTGAAAAAAACTGGAGACTTTTTAATACAAAAAAAAACATTTAAAATATGTTTAAAAAAATTATAAGGAAGCTAACAATTTTCCTTGATTTTTTTTAGATCTATTTTTTTTTAAAGAGTCGTCAAAGTCATTCACAAATCCAAATACATCGCCACTAAAACTTTCTAAGTAAACAGAGTAAAATCAATTAAATAAATATAAGTGAAAAAAGGTATGAAATAATAATAAAGCATAGCTTAGTACATAATATATTATTTGTTTCGGTTTTCATACTTAAACTGAAGTGAAAGAAATAAGCGAGGCTTTAATTGCTAAGTCAGAGCTGAACAAATCCAACGCGACACGCTTTGGCCATAAAAACATGCCAATTTTTTACAAATGCGAAACTCAGAAATACATGTTTCAATCGCCGACGTCTCTTGACCATGTATGACCGTACGTCAGTAATAATAATCACAACGACAATAACAAACACAGCAGTAACAAAACAACAACACAATAAATAACTAAACAATATACAGTCAAGATGTTAAGATAAAGTCAAAATAGTGGTTAGTATATTCAACTTAGCCCTTTCCCGACCCTGTCGTATTGACTCTTATTCGCGAATTACACAATACAATTATAAACAAAATGTTAACATAAAAGTGCTTTAATGTAGCAATTAAGAGTCGGACGAACTCAACCGGACAGAAGGCTATTAAGAAAAAAAAATTAATTAAATTAAGAAAAAGTATTAAAACGATTAAAAAGCCTACATCTATAAAAATGGAAAAATAAAATTTACCTCTTCAAAAATTCTGGGAACGTTATTTCCTTTAAAAATAAAGGAACAAAGATATATAATAGAGATATATTATTAAAATATTGAAATACAATTGATTAAAATTTGCGAACGATAAGTTTTAATAAAACAAGCAAAAAATATGAATATTTATAAGCCTTCCGTTATATAGAAATCTTTCCCAACTTTTTTAGGTATAACATTTAATGAAACCACTACATATATTTTTATTTATTATCTCCTTTTTTTCTTACCTATTACTTAGTGCTCTACCTTATTTCACACCATCAATTTCTGACTATAACGCAAAAGGCAGTTTAATAGATCATAATCTTTTTGTTGACTTGGTAGTTCCATCACAGATTTCTTTATGGATCTTTTTAATCTGTGTTCTTTAGTAAAACATAAATTGCTGTCGTTGATTGGTTGTAAGAGCTAATCAATAGACACCTTTTCGCCTCTTCGCATTTCTTGTAAAAAATCATGTACATAAACTAGATTCATTTAGTTGAGTTTATGTAGTTCAGCAGTTATGTTTTTTACTGATAAGTAGTTTGGCAGACTGTCACGAAAGTACTTTCCTTAAATTTATTTGTTAACCTAGGCTCGGTTTAGTTTACGGAAAAAGTGCATTAATGTCGTTTCATCATCTTAATTTCCACAAGTTCTTCAATTAATATTGAACGAAAGGAGCAAGTACTCTCCATGGTATTTTATACAATAGAGATTTAAAATATCTACAATGAGGTTCTGTTCCTGAACCTGGTCTTATTATATAAAGGCCAGAACGATCGAATTGTGTTTCTCTTTTATAAAGATTTTGGCTAGTAAATCTTGGCAAGTTTATATACTAACATTATTGCAGGCCTTTCTAATATCGTGGAAGTTTTCAATGAAAATTATTTAAAATATATTTTTCTAAAGCATGGAATAAACTATTTCAAAATTTTTTTTTTAATGTGTTGCATTCAGAAATGTGTGCGAAGTATTGAATTGGTTTCGGAAGTCTATGTTACCCGGGTACAGTAATGTACAGTAATGTTATTTAATGCCAAATATTTTTCCACTTGCTTCGGTGGTACACTTCAAGTTTCTTCCATTTCTATGTATATATCATTCTTAAAATAAAAATGATTTGTTTCATTAAGCGGAATAACAGATTTTTGCCATAATTTTAAAGCACTTTTCTTCCACATATCACGATATCGAACTGCTCTTTACTAGGAACAACAAGAGCACGTAGAAAATGATATTGAAATATGATAAATATAACATATGGGTCATTCTTTCACAAATCGGAAAGATTTTGACAAAAAATAAACTCATCACCTCCGATTTGGCTGAAATTGGATTTGTAAGCTCGTTTCATAAAATAAGTAGACTCTTATCTCAAGAAAAAATTTTGAAATTTTTTTTCCTAGGAGATATTGCCTATGCAGTTTGGTAATTAAAAGTTATAATCATGATAAACTATGCCAAAGGTTCTAAGTGGTATTAACCCTTGAGTTTTTAATTATACAGTAACACAACCAATCGCTGATATAACTCAACTTAATCGATTTCATAGCATATACTTACTACCTTCATAAAATGAGAATCTATTCCGCTATAAAAACTAATTTCTCAAAAAAAACGGCTTCAACATTATTCAAACATACTTGCAAAACCCCTACTCTTCGGAGAAAGTATCTACCACGTGCTTTCTATTAACTTTACGAAGCACTAATCTCAATAAAATTTTAAACTGTCAATAATCTACACTTAATAATATATCGTCTGTCAAACAAGTATTACCAGACATTGTTTATTATTTTAAAATTATCAGACTTCAAAGTCAAGCTAACAGAAAAACGCCGAATACTTTTCTACACAAGTCTAGGTTCCAAATTATCAACAACACCTTAAATACATAAAAAACATCTGTTATTTGCATTAGAGTAAGATTTTAAAACTTATTTTTAGATTTTTAAAAATAAATTTAATAACTAATTAGATGTGATAATAATAAAATATACTATACTTTTTTTACTTTTAGTTCTTCACACATTTTTTTGTGTCTACCGTTCCAGTGTTTTTTTTTTCTCTCTACTCTGTACGTTTCTAAGCATTAAAAACCTTGCATAGAAAGTTTTCTATAGAAAATAATTATTATTTCTTATAATTTTATTTCTTTTCTTTTTCTTTTTTCTCTCAATATTGCTTCCTACTGCTATTTCCTTACCAGTGCTGTTGCAGTTGCAGTTGTTATTATTATTATTATCATTGTTATTTTAATTTATGTATGTGTGCATGCGCCAGTAATAATGTAGGTAAATACCAAGTTCGCTAAGAACTTAATTATATAGGAATTTTAATTTTTATTTTATCGTTTAAGAATTTAAAAAAGTAGTAATAAAAAAATTACTAAAATATCTGACGCAAAATCTTATCCTTAAAATTAATTAATTATTTTTAAATTTAGTATAAATTTAGTATAAATAAAAAGTTTTTTTTTTTGTTTTTTTTTCATAAACTTGAATCTATTTTCAATGTCTAATTTAATTAATTTAGTAAACTAAATTGGGAATTTTTCCTTACTCACTGTCTCTGTTCCTGTCCCTGTCTTGCTCGTACTAGTTAACTTTAGAAGCATAAAGTCTGTTAGGTTAAGTGGTTATTATTAATGTCATGTGACGTCTGCTTATAAATGATCGATTCTGTACCCGTTTTAAGACAAATGAGCATGCATATAACTCATTTACCCCATCTGGATGGCTAAATATATTTTGCTGTACGAGTAGCTTGGCCCTAAAACAATGAATATAACGAAGTCGAAGTAACAAATAATTTGATTATATTAACGTTGATAATTGTCATTTGAGCCGATTTATTACCAGATAAATATTTGTATCATAACATCTGCGTGTTAATTAATGAGTGAATAAATAACGAACGGGTATTTTAGTTCACACCTAATCAACGTTTTGGGCGTACAATCTGTTACAGTATAACAAAATGAAACGTTTCTGCCAACTCTATTTGTATTCCATTGTTCTGCCTCAAGTAGGCAACATAAAGGGTGCTACGTTATTCTAAAACAAATAGTTTATTTTTTTTAGAATTAATTTTTGAAATGTATAGTGCATATAAGAAACTCACAACTCGGAAACCTAACGAGTATGTGACATTTTAAATATATTTCCATACATTTTGGAAACTTTTATTTTCATTATTTAAGTGCAAAATAAATTAAATTTAATTTTAAATAAAACATATGGAAAAAATGTTAAAAGTAATAAGTAATTGAGCAAATAATTGAAAATCTGGAATAATTTTTAGAGTGTGAAGGCAATGTTTCGATGTGAAGAGTTCGAACATTTTTAACAGTGTTTATTGTGAAATTAAATAAAATAAAATTCCAAACGAATTTTAAATGAATGTTGTAATAATGCAATATATTCTTTAGTTATCATTAATATGAAATACTAAAAAATACCAAAGATGTTGATACTTAAATAACATCAAACGAAAAAAATTTATAATAATTATAATTCACGTGAAAATCTTAATTACGTTTATTTTTTTTTTTTTGATTAAATTTGCAGTGAAGTGACAGAAGGTGCCTTAGAAATATGGCGTACATTACCGGAACGTATACGTCAGGACTCGAGTTTAGCGTTATTTCGTCAAGAACACGAACGTCTTCATGGCGGTAAGTGAATAATTCGTGGTTTGAAAATTGTGAAAACACAAGTTATAGTTTGTGACTGAAAACTGTAATACAGTGAAAACCTTTTTTAAGCGCGTATTACACATCAGATTTGGTCGTACAACTTGTCCGTTGAAATGCGAAATTTGTGTCAAATCTGTTGGATGGAAATCAAAATATTTTTATTTTCCGTTAAAATTGCTCGTGTTTTTTCGTATACAATCGGATTTTCGTCGGCTTACACGCAAAATTTCATTCTATTTTAAGAGATGGAAGCGAAAACATCGCTTAAATGCAAGCACGATTTTATTTTGTAGTATATTTGTTGTTGTACGACCAAATCTGATATTTAATACGCGCTTAACACTCTACTCTCTTGAGTAGATAATTTTTCTACAACCTGTATACATTTTTTAACAATCTCATTTTAAAGAACGTCATAGCCCGTTTACACTAGCGCATTTAACTCGGCTAATTTGCAGCAATAAGTGTCATTTTTCATAAGAAATTCATGCAAAATCCATAAAAAAATGTGCTAATAAAGCTCGATAATTTTAAATGTAAATATAGTATTAGATTAATAATATTAATTTCTTACGAAATAATGACAAAAGATGTTGCTTCTTCTTAAGTCACATATCTGTAACAGACCTTACGAATAATTTTTCTAACTAAAGACTAAATAAATAAACCATTGTTGAAAAGTGAATTATACAGGAGTTTTATATATCTTTATGTAACGTAACGTATGTAATGTAGCCATGCTTTAAACTTGTAGCAGCCTGTATCATTTCGCTGTCCTTGGGTAAACTAATTTAGACGATCTTCTTCCCAATGTTTTATCGCCAGCAGTTAGACTGAATTAACAAACTGATTCAGTATGTAAAAACACAGTTTCTAAAACTGGATGGTGGGTTGTAGTGTGAGATCCTATACGATTAGGTTAGAATGGTGTTCACATCAACACATTTCTTTCTTTCGAACAAGTAGAGATTCGAAAGAGCAAGAAATTCGAAGAACACACCACTTTTGTTTGTTTTAGAGGTATCCATATCATCCATAACTTATTTTGAAGAATGCAGAAAATGTTAATTTTCTAAGTGGTGAAATATTGTTACTCCATCTTGCGTCATGTCAGTATAGTAAACACACTATTTAATAAATAGACAGTGTAATTCGTTGCCAAATCGGTAAAAACTTTTTTACACTTTTCTGTTTATATCAGTTATTTTTGAGGATTGAAAATGGTTTACTTATTAAGAAGTATCCTACCAATCTGTTCACGTTAAGCACAACCAAATTATTATACTATAAATAATCCACAAAAGTAGATAGTAGGTGACTGAAATAGTCTCTTTATGAATTCAAAAAGATTAAATCCATGTTACTTGCATATATTAAACGTCAGTATCTAAGGAAAAAACTATTAAAGGATTTTTACATTTAAGAACAGAACTGGAAAAATTAGTAAAGTATTGGAATAATTGTATTAACATACAATAGCAGAAGAATAGTAGTATAGATTGATACATAAAATCAAAATTCTGGCACCTTTTATATATCCTTCTTAGGAGTAGTTTTGAAGTACACTCTGCACATGATTTCTTGTTAATATTACGCTTATCAAGTTGAATACTGTATTTACAATAATGATTTTTCGCCGCCTTGTATATGGGTCCAAGATGCTTCAATTAGTGAATATTTGTTTCTTCTAGGAACAGAAAACATTACCTACTTTAAAGTTGCTGGATAAGAGTTCTACTAATTAAAGTTCTAATATGAATATCTTTTTGATCAAATCTTTCTGATCTCAACAGTATTGGTATTCCTTTATATGTATCTCCAAATAGAACTATAGTTTCAGTACAATCTCTATGTAATTCATCTTACACTTTGGAATATAAATATATAATAGTTGTCTTTTAACATAGACTATATATTTACATATACATTGATGTAAATGATTTATTCTAGCCTAGGCCAGGTCACCTTTAATGTCATCACCAATTTATAAAGTGACCTATTGAGCTTATTCCCAGCTAAGAACTATCTGTTGTTATATTAAATATTTTATTCTTAACACGTTAAAGCATGTATGAATTAGTATAAAAATCAATCAGTAATGTATATCTTAATATTATAGGTTATGAACTAGCAGATGTGGATCCAATACCAACGGAAGATATCGATATAGTTAAAGAAAATAGAAAGAACTCAAATGTCTTTTCACAAATTTATAGAGATGTGGAAAACACAGTCGAAGATCAACCTGATGATGGTGACGCAAACGCAAGCAAGGTATAAAATTTCCTATCAAATGTACAGTTTTTGGTTAACTCATTTTATTTATGTACCGACTAATCCCTTTTTTATGTCTCTTTTTTATTTTGTTATAGTCTAAAGATTACTTGCAATGGCTAAAAATATCAATTTTAATGGTGGTCTGGTGCCTATTCACTGTATTCCTAATGTCAACCCATGATCATGTTGACGAACTAAAACTTATAAATGTACCCAAAAACGGATCTGAAAAAGGTACTTACAAAAATAAATTTGAGAAGAATGAAATTACCCTTTATTCCAAATTTTTTATTATTTTCTTACAGTTTTTCCTATATCACCATCATCTTTAAATCGCCTGAATATACAGTTGAAAGGACCATTCGATTTGGATGTTGATACTGTCAATAATCAGTCAAACTCTCCTCAACTACGAGTACATATTAAACGTAGTTACTTTAATGCTAGTGGGCATGAGATGTATCGTGAAAATGTCTCCAGTCTTTGGAACGTGGTTATAGTGCATCCCAATGAATTTCATACAACAAAAGAGACAAAGAAAGATTTTACATATGAAATCTCTCCAATAAATGCAGAGTGGGCACAACGAAGCAATTCTTCGGAACTAAATTTACACTTTATAACAACCATAGACGCCGATTTGCCTTTAGAAATGTCTCTGGATAAATCACCGATATATAAAAAAGAAGGTATTATCTATGCCACTTTGGTATTGTGTGGACTGTATGTTTTGATAGTTTGGGAAATTGTCAATCGTACATTTGCTGCAATAATTGCTTCGACAATGTCTGTGGGTATTTTGGCTGCACTTAATGCGAAACCATCCACAGTTACAATTATGACTTGGATAGATGTGGAACCATTATTGTTGCTATTCGGAATGATGATTTTAGTAGCGATATTATCGGAAACCGGTATATTTGATTATATGGCTGTTTATGCTTATAAGGTAATTAAAATAGCATTTTTAAAGAAAATGTTTTATAACTTTTTATGATAGTATGTATTAATAATTTGTGTTGTTTATTGTACTTAATATTTGTGAAGTATAATTAAATTACTGTTGAAATCTAGTTGTTAGCCATAGTTTATATTGTAATAATGTTAGAAATGCTGATTCATCACCATTCTTGGAGAAGGACTCAGATTCTTCGAACGGAAATGGTAAAAGACACTTGATTATTGTTATTGATAGATTGTTCTGGGACATACCGTACTTCTGTCTACTTTCACAATCTCAGCTGTTGTATAGAATATTACACCCATATAAACAGTGATAAACAATAAATATACACTGTGTACTTAATTTTGAAATACTAGGACTGTACATGGGCTTATAGCATAAAATTTAGATATCTGTTTCGAGCTTAAAGGCATAAATACAGATGGTTATAAATTTTTGAGATCTCGACATTTTTATTTTATTAAATTGCTTCAAATGCTTTTGCGGAGTGTGAATTCTTTAGGGACAAATTTCGATAACTTATCGGTAGATACCTAGCAACAACTCTGTCATAACCTGGTGGAAATTAATTTTGAAGACATTAACAGTTTAACGTTCATTCGCATAAATTAAATCTTTTCCGTAACATTACAAAAAAAGTCCAGTGTTGATGAACATATAGACTTGGTGGCCAACTCACTTCACCAAAACGTGAAATAATACGTCCATGAACGTTTTTGGGGAATAAAGCCAAATTGGAATGAAACGTATTATGTGGTTTCTAGAACCGTTCTTCTAAGACTACATATATGTCACATCCCTATATTCAATTTTACACTAAAATTGACTTTTTGTATCACACCTTCGTCATATCTAGAATAAATGTCACAACAAATAGAGCAATGGTCTTTTGTTAGCAACTTATTGAAATGAGTTATAGTTAATTGATAGTTACTTTTCACGCGAAAAATGAGAGAATTCATTTCTAAAGGAAATTCTGTACGAAAAATCATCATTCTCTTAGTTTCACTATTCCTGTTAATTTTTTAATGACTTTTTTTGACTTACTATTCATTAAATTGGTTACTTTGTTTTTTTTTTTTGCAGATAACGAATGGTCACCTTTGGCCACTTATAAAGTGCTTATGTTTCTTCACTGCTGTAGTGTCATCTATATTGGATAATGTCACAACTGTATTACTTATGACGCCAGTAACTATACGCTTATGTGAAGTGATGTCACTGAATCCGGTACCGATATTAATGTGCATGGTTATCTATTCAAATATCGGTGGTGCTGCAACTCCTGTTGGTGATCCTCCAAATGTTATAATTGCTTCGAATAATTTCGTGAGCAAGAATGTAAGTTAAAACAGCTTTATTTGAAAAAAAATAAGCTTTGGCTTTGCGTATATATCAAAACTGTTCCCAAAAAACTCTATACAGAATTTCGTTCAAATTTGTAACACAAAACACCTACAGTAGTCACAGTTATCAGTCGCACCGATGACTGATCAGTCACTGTATAATAGGAAGACATACTATCTTATCGATCTGATTGAGTTGTCACCTTGCAAAATTAGGGACTTAGCCAAGTATATAAAATTATCAGATTGGGTCATGTTTATCTAATGGAGGAATCGTACCCCTCGGCGTTGCTGGCCTCTAGTCTATGTATGAGTGGTAATCCTGTGGTACTGTAACATATCTGTAACACAAAAAGCTAGTTGGGTTGGGTTCTAGTCTTAGTTGTTTAATAATTATCTACTTTTAAGTTATCTGATAGACAGCCAGATGGATTTGGCTAAATTAATATGTCCCAACATGCTGATTGGGTGTATAACACCATGTTCGTCTTATGGTTCGCAAAATACACAATAGTATATGAAAATATACTATTTTATATAGTATATTTCCTTCTCCTTTTTACAGAATTAAATGAGATTTTACAAGATTTATAACAAACAAATCTTTCATACCTTTCAAAATTTTGAAGTACAAACTTTCAATATTCTATTTATACAAAAAGTTATATACAGTCCTTAAAATTTTTTATATCACTTAAAAGAATTTTTGCATCTAAATACAAGGTTTCATATGTAGTTAATATACTCGTCTTAACTTCATTCTATCCTCACAGGGAGTCAATTTTGCCGTCTTCACATTGCACATGGCCCCCGCCATTATATTGATTATGTTGCAGAGTTATTTGCAATTACGTTTCAAATATCGTCATATCAGCGATCTACAGTTTAAGGACTCACCCGAAGTAGAAGAACTACGACGTGAGATACATGTATGGAAACGTGCTGCTGCTAGCTTATCTGCCTACTCGAAGGATGAGGACTTGGTGCGCGAGACATTATTGAAGAAAGTCAATCGTCTAAAGCGCAGTTTGAAGAAGCGTATGGCTGCTCCTATTGAACAGACCTTAAATTATGAGCAAACTTTGCAAGACCTTCAAGCAAAAGTAAGGTTATTTTAAATAAAATATTTTCTCAAAAAGAATAATATATTTATATTTATATTTATTTCAGTATGTGATACGTAATAAGCCATTGCTAATAAAATGCTCCGCAGCTTTAGTTTTCGTCATAACATTATTCTTTTTGCATTCCGTGCCAGAATTACAACCTCTTTCGATGGGCTGGACAGCACTCTTAGGTGCCATATTCTTGATTATATTGGCTGATATTGAAGATATGGAAGCTATATTGGCACGTGTTGAATGGTCAACATTATTGTTCTTTGCTGCATTATTTGTTCTCATGGAAGCACTGACGGAATTGGGTTTGATTGAATGCATTGGCAGTATGACAGAAGATGTGATATTGAGCGTTAGTGAGGGATTTCGTTTAATGGTTGCCATTTTAATTATATTATGGGTTAGTGAAATTTCTATATTGAATTAGTTTAATTAATATAATGAATTAATTACATTTTATATGATATGTTTATATAGTTCATTATTTTTCCCTTCAATGAGAGATAGTTTATTGGTGCTGGGTATAAAAAATACCATATCAGAGTACGGGTCAGTTGTTAATACAACCCGAAGCCCAGGATATCAAAAGAAAATGCATCTGCAAAAAAATCTTCAGTAGAAAACTTTCATTATTTTAAATGTTACTAATCTATAATTCAATTATAATGCTTGAATTCTAATAATAATTTATTGTTCTGTATGTATGGACATCAATTTATTTATAGGGCATCAATTTACATATTTATGGTAATTTTGATAAGTTTTTCAGGAAATCTTTTTTAACTGAGTTACTTCATAATTAACATACCTGTTATTTTTATTCTTGCAACATTGTTCAAAGTATGTACTGTATTCCTACAAAAAACAAGTAGAGTTGGTCATAATATTTGGATCAGTTTTCTTTCAATGTACTATATTTCTCTAAAAACCAGATAGGTATGACCAGTCAATACATTTGGATCAGTTTTCTTTCATATTAGTACCATATTTCTCTGAAAAACTGATTCGGATGGTCGGTCATTATATTTGGATCAGTTTTCTTTTATATTAACATTATATTTCTACATAAAAGGGATAGATGTGGTCAATCATAATGTTTGGATCAATTTTCCCTGAAAGTACTGTAATTCTCTTGAAAATGGACAGAAATAGCCAACTATAGTATTCAAATTAGGTTTAAGGCAGTCCAATCGAATGTAATCCATTCTCGCTACGTACCTGTCTTTATTCAATGCGATTATTGCTACGATTTTGAACTTCGAAATATTATAGACAAAATCAGATAAATCACTGACTTTGTCGTATATTTGAAGACTAATTAATGTTAACCAAAATGCTGTTCCAATTTTTTTTAAAACTTTCGACACGAGTTGAAGAATATATATAATAATATATATATATAGTAATCTGGCTGTATTTATAAATATTTATATATTATGCTATAAAATTTTTTAATTTACCTATTAAATTAATATGCAAATTAATTAAATAATTAAATTAAAACACATATACCATATATTCCAAAATTATATATATATCTGTATTTGTAATATCTGTATTGGTAAATATACTTACATGTAACTTATTGGATTTATTCTAGGTTTCAGCAATGGCTTCAGCTTTTGTAGACAATATACCTTTAACCACAATGATGATAAAAATTATTATATCTTTATCCCAGAATAGCGAATTGGATTTACCTTTACAACCACTGGTATGGGCTTTAACACTTGGCGCTGGGTGTGGCAGTAAGTCTTTAATTTTTTCATTTAATTTAATTATTATTTTTTTTTTATTTTTTTATTAATTATTCATTTTATTTAATATAACTTTCTTTCAAAGGTAATGGTACTCTAATTGCTGCCTGTGCAAATGTGGTGTGTGCAGGTGTTGCTGAACAACATGGCTATAAATTCACTTTCCGGGAGTTTTTCAAGTAAGTCTACAGCACTTATTCATTTTTAAAAATGGTTGATTGGTTCAAATGGTGATTCCATCTGTCAATCATATATATATATATCAGACACACTTTCAGAACTGCACGTGATCGAAAATCACTTTTTTTAATAATAAACAAAATATCTAAATGTAAATATAGAAGTTCCACAGAAAAATATATATTTGAATGACTTGAAGAAGTTAAACACAACGATTTGTAATAGTTGAAACGGTTATCGTGAGATTCCATAGTAAGGATCGACTATACTTTTCTTGATCATGCAGTTATGTCATGATGCATTAACAACAAATAGATATATTAAATATATAGCCCCTCAAAAAAAGTTGGGAGCTGCATATCTATCAATGGTTGCACTTCGTTATTGTTTTTAAACTATTGTGTCAAGATTAAATTGTGAATTGCACCGAAAAAGTTTTGGAAGGTTGTATGAAACCGCGGTCAACATCACGCAGAGAATACGTCAATAATATTGAAAGAAAACTTTCTCAATGCAATAACAGCCAAAAAATAGAAGTAATCAAAAAAAACACACTCTACTTCTCGGTATGAGACATCTTGCAAGCTAAAACCGGTACTGAATATTAAAGTGCTTTATATAAGTGAAGCCTTCTTCGTCGTTTACTATTTTTCATCGTCAATTATCATACTAGTTTCTTACATGAGCCTTAGGTCTACTTCGGCTAATCATTTAATTCAGTGGGGTCACTTGATGGGCGGTGTACTCTCCCAACGCCTAATAATATATACATACGCCTTTAAAAACATATTTTCTGGTGTAGTTGGGTCGTCGTGATTTACGACTGACTCCGGAACGTAGGCCGCCATCAATTTTTAGTTTAATGGATTTTTCTATACCGGCTTGTGATTTCCATACGAATTAAAGTTCTCAACAAATCGTTGCTTAACAAAGATATTGAAATTTTCCAAAGATACTGGAAAGATTGTATTGAAGTTGAACAGAATATACGGATTCTATACGATTTAAAGGTCTCCATAAATCGTTGCTTAACAATTATATAGAAATGTTTATGAGATACTGGAAATACTGTTTTGGTCCGAAAGAATATGTAAATGAAGAGAATCAAACCTTTCAAGGGTTTTCAAAGTGTTTCCCTACCTTTAAGAGCTCTAATAGTTCAATAATGCTAAGCTATTATAACCATATCTTAATGATATATATTTTTAATTATTATACTCGTTTTAATGATCCATTATTATTTTTTTAATTTCAGAGTTGGTTTTCCTGTAATGATTGGAAGCATAGTTGTATCAACAGCATATCTGATAGTTTGCCATGTCTTTTTCACGTGGCATTGATGAAAACCTGAAGAATTGATGCTCTATTTCAGGATGTTCAATCAATTATTCACAACCTACCAACTTACAAACATCCAGAGATGCACGCATATTAATACAAATGAAATATTATAAAATAAAATAAATTTGTAATAATAAAATAATTAAATTATTTAAAAAAACTAATTAAACAAATATAAGAACAAAATAATAATATATTTGAAAAACTCTGGAACTAAATTGTTATTAAAACGTCGAATTAAATTGGTAGAGATTTTCTTAAATTTAAATTTGTCAAATCAGAGGATGTTATATATATTATAGAAGGTGGATATTTTTATTATTCATCGCCATGTTGTGCTCTCCTAACGAATATGCTTTGGCGATTTTAAATTCATTAAATATTAGAAGGGTTTGAATAGAGATGAAAAGATAACAACAAAAATTTTAGTTAATTTATTTTTATTAATTTAGTGATTATTATTTAATTTGATATTTAATATTTTTGGCATATAAATGCATTCGAAAATTATAATAATTGGAAGGATTTCTTTAAAAGGATCGAATAAAAGAAAGGATTCTTTAAGAAACCGGTAAAGAAAGAAACAATTGTTTTATTAATGTTTTATTATTATTTATTAATATTTTATTTTTAATTTAACAATAACTAAAAATCCTATGAATTTTTTTTGCAAAGAATTTTTGTATTTATCAGAAACTGACTATCACCTGATTTGATATGTCACCTGGCTGCTCTATATCTGGATTTTCCTTATCATAAACTTTATTCAGATTCATTAAGTCTCATTAACTTTAATTTGGCAATATCCAACTCGTTCCAGAAATTTAAAATGGTTTAACAATATTATAAGAAGTTTGCGCATTGCAATTCTATTAGCGAAGATTGCAATCCAAGGATTCATATCAATAATGATAAATGAATCTTATTTCATTATTCATAAAAGTTATTCATAGAAGAACAATATATAAAATTATATGATTGTAACATCCCTTGCTCAACCATACCGTCCTAATAAAAAATTAAAAAAATTTCGAAGTCCTGGGAACATGATATAGAAATGGATTATAGCCTCAGAAAGAAAGATTATAATGACTATTATTATAGAAAAGGGATAGTACACTGCGACCTAAAAGATCTATTGTGTCTAGGCACTTGTACTTGTACTTGTAATAAAAACAGGTTGACATGAAACTTTATCTGGCATATATAAAATATTACTTTCGACAAATTTTGGCTTTATATATCACAATACACCCCATAAAATTTTTTAAACAATATTTTGAAATTAAAATACCTGCGGAATTAGTTACTATTACTAGGTTTTTAGGTCTAATACCTTTCAATCAAATGTTAGATAGAATACAACAAATAAATTTGTGGGGAAAATAAAGGTTACGATACTTACATGTCTCGTCTATTTAGAAACTTAAAAGATCCATTTTTAAAAGTGTGCATTCTTTAAAAATAAAGGTTACGATACTTACATGTCTCGTCTATTTAGAAACTTAAAAGATCCATTTTTAAAAGTGTGCATTCTTTAAAAATTAAATTCTTTAAAAATTAAGAATGAACTATATTTTCAAATACATAATTTGAGTTATTATTAGCTTATTTATCGATGTATTCTCGCTTACCTCTAATACAATCACACCATTGACTTTTAATTTTACTCGTAAGTCCACATCTTTCTTATAGATATATTTGTTAGGTCTTACTAAAAAGATTTCTATTTCACTGATAATTTTTTATTGAATTTATTATAGTAATATGTGGTGACCTATTTTTCTGAAATATAAATTAAGTATAAAACTTATCTAACCTATTTCTTAGTTTAAACATGAGAAAGACCTCGCTTTACTACACTTACTTACTTTATGCTGTCCTTCTCTCCTAGTGGATCATAAAGCCTCGATGATTCCTCTAAACATTACTCTGTTCCCTGTTTCTCTTATAATTTGGTTCCAGGAGTACTGTGCGTCTTTGAGCTTCTGGTTCACAGTTCTTCGATATGTCTTAGCTGGGGCTCCAGGCCGGTGGCTACCTTATGGATTCCAGTGTATTTATAAGACTCTGTTAGTCAATGACATTTTTTTTTTTTTAAATAAATCATTTTTAATCATCATAAGAAGATCTTCTAATCATTGTTTGAAATATTAAAAGTTGTTTCACAAAAATTACTATTGGAATATCAACAAACTATGGAGTTGATTTGCAATATTAGAAAAAATTCTTTAAGAAAGGCTTAATAGATATAAAAGAACTTAAACCATTCTCTCCACCAATCAAGGTTATTTAATTTTTTAAACATTATTAAATGTCATATATTTATTTTATATATTAATTTAATATAGATAAATTGGAATATAAATATTAAAATTTTGTTTTAAATTAATTAGCACTAGTGACGTCATCATTAAAATTAAACGATCATAAAAAGCATAAAAATAAAATGTCGGTTGGCTTATATAATATCTTCACATATATTATATTTGTCTGACCGTCCTAAGGTTGGAATATTTCTGAGTAGAGTATTTAATATATTATATACTAATTGATTAAAATATTTTATAATCAAATTAAAATTTTCTTGAAAAAATGAATAGCTAATGAACTATGCATTACATATGAGCATTTCGAAGAATATATCTCTTACAAATGCGACTTTCGTGAAAGCATTAAATAATCATCTGTTATTCTATTAAATACTAAACTAGTTCGATTTAGTGAAATAGTGAATAAAGTGAGCCGATGAATTTCGGAAAAATGGAAAAACTATTACAATAAGTTCAACACTTCACAGAACTATTTTTAAAGAATTTGGAAGTCAAAGAATTGGAAATGCTTAAGGAAATCAATTAACGAATGCCTGACTGCATTGAAAAACACCTACTAGTAGTAGTATTTTCTTTATTAATAATTTTAAAAAATAAACAAAATTTATACCTATATTATGTATTATTTACTTAATGCTACTAATACATATACCATATATTTCCAGTGAAATATTTCCGGTGTGACCAGAATCCAGTTAGGATTCGAAGAATCCACTTAGGCCTATTGGCTCATTGTGTTAACATATAATCTATGGCAAAGCTTAAAATACTATTTAATGGGAGATCTTGCATTGATCAAGATCCTTAACAAAGGAAGACTTTAGAGTAATAAGGCGGTGGCGCGAGTATGCTGGGCAGAATCCATGATATTGTGTATTATGTTGTATGATCTTAAAAATTAAATTGCGCGAGATAGCAGATAGCTAAGATGCCAAACATATCACATAAACCTGTATCGCATATTTTATATAAATCTTTGTGTATGAAAAACTTTCGGGAAGATGGGTTTTGCGTTTGGTCAGAATTGCTCAAAATGGACCAAAAATGACAACGACTTTGTCATTCAAAGCATTGTATCGGAATATTTATGCACAATGTAGCTGACTGTGAACGTCAATTGTCGAGTAGTGACAATTAATAAAACATGGGTCCATCACTTCATACTTGAGGGACAACAATAAGCCCGAGAATGAGTACAGCCTTTCTCGGATCCATCACTTCATACTTGAGGGAAAACAATAAGCCCGAGAATGAGTACAGCCTGGGGGTAGTGCTCCCAAACGACTATGAACTCAACAATCGGATGGAAAAGTTTTGCATTGCGTATTTTGAGATTCAAGTCGAATTATTTTAATAAACTATTTGGAAAAAAGTTAAACAATAACTTCAGACTGTTATTGCATATTCGAGTTAATCGAGTGAATGAGGAAATCAAGAAAAAAACAATCATATTTGTCGAAGAAAAAGATTTTGTTTTTGCAAGTTAACGCATTCGCTCATACATCAATGAAAACGAATTTTTTCCTCGTCGACTATATTCTCCAGATTTGGCTCTCAGTGACTATTACTTGTTTTCAAACTTGAAAAGATGGCTTCAGGTAAAGAGATTAGCATCAAATGATAAATTGATGAATGGAAAACTGAGGTATATTTTGGAGAATTTGTTAAATTTTGTAATTTAAAAGGTATCCAAATGTTGAAAGATTGTTGGACTCAGTGTGTCGAGCTAAAAGGGGACTATATTGAAGCATAAAGTATAAGGTTATAAAAAAATGCCTTTTTATTACTTAGACCGGCTATTTATCAGTCCACATAGTATAAAGCTTTATTCCATTGACAAGATTTTCCTATGTTAGCAAGCCAAGCTTTCCATCAAATCGTTTATATATTTTGGTCTACTTTTCATTTTAAGAAGCCGGGTATTTCCCGTAACTACAGATAAAATTCTTTGGCTACTGGTCTATCACAGTGTCTTAGTGATTGGAAGTTACTGTAGTTGTTTGAACTATATTCTTTAAATGCATAAGAAGAATACTGAAAATATGGTGGCCGATGTGCATATCCAATACTGATCTCTGGAAAAGCACGAAACAAATATAAGCTGTCACTGAAATCAAAAGAAGAAAGTGGCTGTGAATTGGCCACATGCTGAGGAAAACAGCATCTTGCATAACAAAGCAAGTCCTACGCTAGAATCCACAAAGTAGCTGTCTAGAGTCCTACGCTAGAATCCACAAAGTAGCTGTCTAGAGTCCCAGCTTAAACAATGCGAAAAACCGTGGACCAAAAGCCTTAAGGACGCACAGTACTCCTGTAACAAAGTTACAAGAGAAAGAGGCAACAGAGTAAGATGTAGAGGTATCGTTGAGGTATGTGCACCACTAGGAGAGAAGGACAGCAGTAAGTAAGTAAGTAGTTGTTTTAACTACAGACAATAACATTGTTACTGGACATTATAGTTCTTCACTGAATTAGCTTAGTTTCTCCTTGTTAGTTAGCTAAGCACTTCGTCAAACCGTTCTAACGTGTAATACCACCTCAATTACTTTTCGTTAATGGAAACTAATTAGTCCTTCCAACTCCAAACAAACTACTTTAGCTACTGGGCTATCATAGAGCCTAATTGCATTACTTGAGCTTCGTTTTTAATGTAATAATCCGTATGGATCTTTTGTTTGATTTACTGCCGTTTGATGAGTTGCATTCACTAAAATTATTATTTGGTGAAATACTTAAACTTTGTTATTTTTTTT